TTTTTTTTTTTTTTTTTGACAAGTGGTGACATAGTGCCACACAATTGATCATCTTCCTTTTTTCCATGTAATACATCTTTCATGTAATATTTCATGTTATTTACCCATAGCAGTATGTATGGAACTGCCTCCTCTTTTTCAATAGCTACTGTGATTTCTGTGTCATTGAATGGCTGCATCATAATTTACTATCTGATCTCTCATAGATGAACATTTAGTTCATCAATCCAAATAGTGTTGTTGTTATGTGCTGTCAAGTCGGACCCGACTCATAGTGACCCCTCCTTGGGTTTCCGAGGCAGTATCACTACAGAAGTAGATTGTCCAACCTTCCTTCTGAGGAGCTACCTAGGATAAATTCTTAGAAGTGAAGTTGCTGAGTCAACAAGGTTGTATGTTTCATTTTGATAAGATTTTGCCAAATTGCTATCCCTGGAAGTAGTGCTAGTTATACCCCTGGTAGGAGTTATGAGAGTAATTGTAATAACTACCAGAAAAAACAAATCATCTTTTTTTTTCAGCATAAAAAGTTTTAAAAATTATTATTTTATTTTTTTTATTGTGATTTTTTATTGTGAAGATTTACAGAGCAAATTCACTTTCCATACAGCAGTTCACATATACTTTGTCTCATGTTTAAAATGACCACAGTTTACCACAATGCAACAGCTCCCCTCCCACTTCCTCCCCATAGTTACCTCTTCCTAATGTCCATCCCTCCATACACTCCTGCCCCCTGAGCTGTCTCCCTGTGCATAAGCAGCCCTTCTTTCTCCCATGATTAAAACAAATCATCTTAATTATGTAGCTGTGAATGACTTCTAGACCACAGTTATAGTAATATACAAGCAAAAACTTCTTTCTTATCATTCTTTAAGTTTTATAACCTGGCATCTGGTGCCCAATGCATTTTAAAATGAATTGACTTACCAATTTAAGAATGTAGAGGTTCCGTTTTTAAGCTTAATTTAAATAGTAGACCGACACTATAAGTGTTTTACATATATTAACTCATTTAAGTTTCACAACAATCTTATGAAACAATTATAATTATTATTCTAATTTTATAGATGAGGAAACTGAGACCCAGACATATTTCACATCTTAGAGCTGGTAACTTACAGGGCTAAGATTTAAGGAATTCTGGTGGCGCTGTAGGAGCTTTGGTGGCGTAGTGCCTAAGGCTTTTGACTGCTAACCGCCCACCAGTCACTCCTTGGAAGGAAGTTTGGGCAATCTACTTTCATAGAAATACCACCTTGGAAACCCAAGGAGGGGTCGCTGTGAGTCGACTCAACTTGACGGCGGTGAGTTTGGTTTTGGTTTTGGTGGTGCTGTGGGTAAGGCATTTGGCTGTTAAACAGAATGTTGGCAGTTTAGATCTACCAGCTGCTCTGCAGGAGGAAGATGAGGCAATCTACTTCCACAGAGACTTACAGCCTTAGAAACGCTATTGGGTCACTATGAGTTGGAATCTACTCAATGGCAGTGGATTTGTTGTGGGGGTTTTTTGTTGTTTTAGTCAAAAGCCAAGGACTCCTGGTGGCACAATGGTTACATGCAAGGCTGCTAACCAGAAAGTCAGGGTTGGAACCCACCAGTAGCTCTGCAGGAGAAAAGACCTGGTGATTTGCTCCTGCAAAAATGACAGCCTTAGAAACCCTATGGCACAGTTCTACTTTGTCATATAGGGTTGCTGAGTCAGACTCAACTCCATGCACTAAACAACAGTCAGAAGCCAGAGCCTACCACTGGATCATGAAGCCATGTTGCCCCTATTAAGTGTTTTAATTTTTTCTAAAGTTATGTTTATCCACACAGACATACATCTATCATTTCTTGTGTTGCTGTCTGTTTTGGTTATCTAGTGCCACTCTGACAGGAATATACCATAAATGGGATGGCTTTAACAAACAGGAGTTTATTCTCTTATAATTTTGGAGGTTTTAAGTCTTAGTTCAAAGTGCCAAGCTCTAAGGGCTGGGTGAAAGCCCCTCAACCTTGGGCTTCAGGTCTGCTTCCCTGCTCCTGGCCCACTGAAGCTGGAGGCTTTTCTTCACTCAGATAGCTGCTGGCTGCTGAGACTGACAAGCCCAAGGTTGACAAGTAAAAAGGCACAGTCCTAATATTACCAAACAACATGGCAGGGCACTAATGTAAGTCCGGAAGATGTCCTAAGATCAGCAGGGCATGGCAAGCTGTTGAACAACAACTTGGCCACATGCAGGGTTCAAGAGTGCCAAAAGCCTAGAGACCATTCCTAAAGCTGCTTCTTGTATACAGAAAGCGGACCGCATACCCAAAGCAGCTCCTCCACTGCTCCAATAGATTCCACCATGGAATTAATTACCAATCTCATCATGGGGAATAACTACATCCACCTGCTCAGGCACTCAACCAGGCCCAGCCAAGTTGACACACAAGCTTAGCTACCACAGTATCTATACTGTCATTGCAAATAATCTTCCTTATGTCTTCCTGACCTTTCAAACCTACCTTTTACAGATAAAATTAAAAAATAAAAAGCCCAGGGCCATCAAGTTGATTTAACGTATAGCAACTGTTTTAGGACAGAGCAGAACTGCCCTGTAGGGTTTCCAAGGCTGTAAATCTTTACTGAGGAGCTCTGGTGGTATAGGCATTTGACTGCTAACCAGAAGGCTGGAGGTTCAAACCCACCAGCCATGCGTCAGAAGGAAGATTGAACAATCTGCTTCCATCAAGATACTGCCTTGGAAACCCAAGGAAGGGTCAATATGAGTTAGGATCAACTCAATAGCAGTGAGTTTTGTTTGTTTGTTTGTTTTAAATCTCTACTGAAACACATTGCTTAATCTTTCTTCTATGGAGTGGCTGCTGGGTTTGAACTGCTGATCTTTTGGTTAGCAGATGAATGACCACTATGCTACCAGAGTGCCTTTACCTTTTACACATAAGGCAGAGTGAAACAGAAATTGTCACCCCCCACCCTCAGCCCCAGGACCCCTAGAAAATTAAGAACCAAGTTGAAATGGTCTTTTATGACAGTCCCCAGTATTATATGTAGCAACTTTACATTTTTCATTTTTAAATTGATGGCTCTCAAGTTATTTCAGAAATATGTCCAAGAAGCTCACAAGAAACATTTATAATAATAAATGTTTAATTTTCAAAAAAAAAATTCCTTCCTGCGGTTCTTCCAGCAAGCCCCTGAGACTTTTATCTGCACGCAAGTGGCTATATTCTCCTGTACCTTGACATACAGACCTAGGTGAAATATTGTGGGCATAAAAATTGCATTTGGTAGGTCTGTTAGGAAGGGGTCATGTGAAAGTCATCTTTGATTTGTTAATGGAACTTTTTTTTTTTTTTAAGATGTAGCGTATGGCAGCAATGATCTGCATCCTGAGGGGAAAAATGGTCCATTTTATAAAGGTTTATTTTCATATTTTATACACTATAGTTCTGTTGTGTGTTTTTGATTTAGTAACAATTTATGTGTTTTTCTGTCACAGAGCACTGCGGCCTGTGGTGCTGAGTCTCACAGCGATGCCATCCAGCCCTGCCACATCAGAGAGGCCATTCGACGCTACGGCCACAAGATTGGCCCCCTTTCCCCATTCACAGTACGTAATAACAGAGTTATAAAAAGTTATATTTATAATCTGAAAGAATTTTGATTTTCAAGTGGTCAAATGAAGAAGCAATGGAATTGTTGAAAGCAATTTGCGGTAACTGTAATTTTGTTGTATAAAAGTGGCATAATTCTCTTGGGAAATAAAAGTTAGTCATTTTTGTCTCTTTTTGGAAGGACACATTTTTTTTTTCTACAAAATATTATTTTCTTTCAATTACAAATTGTGCTTTTTTTGTTGGGGCTTATATTTTCTATTTTTCAAAGCTTGGGTTTATAAAACTTTTTTGTCAAATTATATGTATCCAAATATTGCTAGAAGCACTTTATATTCTAAAATTGGTTCGATTGGCACTACCGCTCTATCAGATGTCCTGCTCCTAAACACACTTTGAGTTGGAAGGAGAAGAAATGATTTTGTTACTTGCTTTGAACTAGGCTGAAGTGTGACAAGTCTTTGAAAGCTTGTAATCAGGCTTTTTTTAAAATTTAAATTAGGAATAAAGCCTTGATATTTCAATACTGAAGAAAATGTATGTGAGTCTGTGTATTTAAATTAAATACCCAGTTGTAGCCCCCTTCCATCTATTTTTATCTTCATGTTTGTTAATAAGACTTTCTCCAAGTCCTTCTGTGTTTCTAAGGAGAATTGGTTTGATTTTCAGTAAGTGAGGCTTGATTTACATAACTGAGGGAGAGTCAAATTTCTCTTTTTTGTTATTCGCTTCTGCTGGAGCATATTAAAGTAGGATATATATGAGTATATATATGATATATATATCAGTACTATGAGTAAATGAATAAATATGTATAACATAGTATACATTTTTCATAAGAGTAGATTTTACTATTGCCTGTTGATTGAACTCATGATTTCTTTTAAATTATGTAATTTCCTCTTTTCCCCCTCAGTTGGTTAAAGGGACAGCTTTCTTTCCATTCTTTGTTCTCACTGTGGTTGTGTGCCATCAAGTCAATTCCTACTAATAGCAACCCTTTAGGACAAAGTAGGACTGCCCTGTAGGGTTTCCTAGGCAAACTGCCATATCTTTCTCCCGTGGAGCAGCTGGTGGGTTCCAACTGCTGACCTTTTGGTTAACAGCCAAGCACTTTAATCATTGCATCACCTGGGCTCCTTTTGCTCTTATTAGGTTATTAACCAAAACCAAAACCAAAATCACTGCCATCGAGTCAATTTGAACTCATAGCGACCCCTCGGGTTTCTGAGGCAGTATCACTACAGAAGTAGTGCCCAACCTTCCTTCCCAGGAGTGGCTGGTGGGTTTGAACCGCCAGCCTTCTGGTTAGCAGTCAAATGCCTTAGGCACTAGGTGTTTTTAATTATAAGGGTTCTCAGCGTGATAAGAAGAATGTGCTTTTATATTTGTTTTCAGGAGGTTTTTGTGAACAGTGTCTATTGTTTCTACCTTTGTTTAATATTTTAGAATTGTCTTGTATATCATAAGAACATGAGTCTAACACTGTTGAGTAAAGCTATGTATCATTTTACTTGAGTTCTTTTAGATTCTTGAAATTGAAAAAAAAGAATGAAATAAACTATTCTCTATTATATATATATATATATAATGATGATAAGGAAGGCTGCTTTGTAAGCAGATAGGCCAAAAGGAAGATGGGATTTTAAAAAATGTGAGATGATTAGAAATAAGAATTTGAAAACCAATTGAAACGGAAAGAATTGACTTATGAGGAAGGATTAAAAACATTAAATCCATAAGTTAGAGCCAAATAATGACTAATAGGTTGAAGCAATGCAGTGGAAAGGGAAGAAAAAGGAGACCATGCTGATAATAATCTAGAAGTAATTGAAGGGTAGCAGGGGAAACAGGATTTTTGAGAAATGACCTAAGAGGCAACTAAAAGTAATGGATAAAGTTAGGTAAAGGAAAATGTATCTCATACAAGGGGAAAGCTTCCAGATCAGGAAGTCTGTGATATTTCCTTGAAATGAAGTAGTGGCTGCTTCATTCTTCAAGTTTGGTCCCACCCCCACCCCCCATTTTTAGGTAATCTGGACAGATCACTTGAGAACCATCTAGGCTGATAACACTGTTTGTCTGTCTTTTCATTTATCTGTCTTCCCATCTATCCATTTATCTGTCTATCTATTTTCCCCATTTCTAACCTGGTACTCTATTATTTGTGTATTGTTTATGTTATAATCTAAGATTATAGTACATGGTTAAAAAATATATACTTGAAACTAAGTTCAGATACAGTTTAAGCTAGTTTTTATCTAATGAATTTATAGCCAATCTGCTTTCTGTGACTACTGATGCAATTAAATAATGCTTAATTTAGATAGATATGAATAGAACAAATATGCCATAACCTGGGAGGCTTACTTGACCACTACCAAAGCAGGCACGTAAAATCCACAACAGACAATAAAGAACCTCACCCAGAGGGGCACCCAAGTAGTTCTTATCCCTCCTCAGAAAGGTCCTATCTTGAAAGATCTGCTCTGTGACCTGGAACTACAAGAACTTACTCAGCCTGCAGGGCAAAGTTAATGCAATCCTGAATATGCCTCCTCCATTTTATATCCTGAGTAGCATGATCAAGGAGGTATGGTTTCAAATATAAGTAAAACTGCATTTTAAAGTTAAAAATTCTTCTTTTACACTGGGATAGGCTATGGACTGTGTATGCCAACAATGTAGCCCACCTGCCCTGGCTCCCATGTACATTCTTCAACTGCTAAAAGGAGAGTCTTATGGTAGAAACCTCCTGATGTTGGAGAATACTGATGTTCAGTTCCCCTTGCCCACTCACTAAGATGGTACTTTACGCTGCAATGAAATATCCTGCTACCTTGGCTTTGAGCTATAACCTCTAAGAAGCGAGGAGGCATGTTGTCTGGTCTCTACAGTAACTGTAGATGGACAGCTAAATTTTCGTACCAAAATTTCATACAGAGCCAACTTACCTCCAGGAAATTTCCTTTGTAAACTAAAATGTGAATAAATAGCTAGTTTATTTATTTATTTATGAAGCATATAGATTTTTTTTTCTTCATGTCATTCTGAATCCAGAGTGTTTATCTGATGTGTATACAGATACAATATCTAATTTAGAATATTCATCACTTGATAAATATTTATCCAGTATCCAACTATTAGAAATTGATTTGGAGATGTAAAATAATAACCAATGGTTATGCTGAAACTTAATTCCAACAGAAATTAGATTTACTTAAAAAAATGTTTTATTAAGGTATTATTATTCTATCTTCTGTTATATGACCTCTGAAAATAATTTTATACAAAAGCACATGATCAGTCTCAAGAATGCAGTTCACTATATAAAGGACTAGGAGCTCTGGTAGCATAGTGGCTAAAGGACTTGACTGCTAACCAGAAGGCTGGCGGTTCAAACCCACCAGCCACTCCTCGGAAGGAAGGTGGGGCAATCCTACTTCCGTAGTGATACTGCCTTGGAAACCCAAGGAGGGGTTGCTATGAGTCGGGGCCGACTCTACGGCACATAACAACAACAACATACAAAGGACTACAAATGAGTTTTTTACCTTGGGAACTAGTTGAAATAATAGTGAGAGGTTATAGTAGCTGTTAGAGTGAAGAGGAAAGGATGAAGATTACATGGAGATCGATCACTGGCTTAAAAACCAAATGCACTGCCGTCCAGTCAGATCTGACTCATAGCGACCCCTCCTTGGGTTTCCAAGGCAGTATCCCTACAGAAGTAGGTTGCACGGCCTTCCTTCCGAGGAGTGGCTGGTGGTTCGTGGGTTTGAACCACCAGCCTTCTGGTTAGCAGTCAAATGCCTTAGGCACTATGCTGCCAGAGCTCTCCAATTACTAGCTACTCATCTGTAAATGCTATCTATGTTCATGAGTACTGTAGAGATGTTATAACCCATCCGTCACTATTCATCCAATTGTAGCGAGAATGTCGTTGGTGTTAATTGGTGATTTCTTTCTCCTCTGTGTTCTCAACTCAGTACAGAAGATGAGAAAAGATATCCTACCTAGAAGACTAAAGTAACTATCCTTAGAAGTTAAACTACTAATTAGATTAAATGATAAGGTCAGAGCTAAAATTCAGTTCTTCTAACTCCCAGCTCCTAGAACATATACTTTTCCAACTGCCCCCCTTGATCTCTATACACACATCCTAAAAGACCTTTAAAGAAACTGATTTTACTTTTTGCTTCTTGTTTATTTTTCCTAAATAATTCTGAACATTACTTCAGTCTGTGATTGCTACTAACTAGTAGCATAGTGCCTAAGGCACTTGACTGCTAAACAGAAGGCTGGTGGTCCAAACCCACCAGGCACTCCTCAGAAGGAAGATGGGGCAATCTACTTCCGTAGTGATACGCCTCGGCAACCCAAGGAGGGATTGCTATGAGTCATGTCCAACTCAACGGCACGTAACAACAACGATAACAACATTCTTTTTAGTAGTTGATATTATGTGAGGTTATGTTGTATGGTGATTAAAAATATTGATCCTGTAGTCAGATGGCCAGGGTTCATATCCTAGTTTTGCCAAAAACTAGCTGAGTAACCTTAAGCAAGTTTCTTAACCTCTCTATGGCTCAGTTTTCTCATTGGTAAAATGAGGATAATAACAGACAATGCCTCATAGTAGAATTTAATGAGCTTAACAGGAGCTATAGTGGCACAGTGGTTAAGCACTCAACTGCTAACTGAAAGGTTGGCAGTTCTAACCCATCAGCCACTCCATGGAAGAAAGATGTGGCAGTCTGCTTCCGTAAACATGTATAGCATTGTTGGAAATCTATAGGCCAGTTCTACTCTGTCCAATAGAATGTCTATGAATTACACCTCTATGGCAGTGGGATTTTTATGAGCTTGACAGGAGTCCCTGGGTGGTCCAAAACATTAATCACTGGGCTACTAAGTCCTAAAGGTGGCAGTTCAAACCTAGCCAGGGAAGCCTCAGAAGAAAGGCAGGTCCATCTACTTCCAAGAGGTGAGATTGATTTAGTGGCAACAGATTTTGTTTGGTTAGGATTTTATAAGCTTGACCTGTAGT